GTAAGATGCTGAGTAGATGGGCCAAAGACAGATCATTAAACCATTATCTCCTTTTGGAATAATAGCTTTCTAGACAAAATAGGCAGTAGATCTCATCTGCTCTGACTTCAGCAATGCATTTGATACAGTAGCACACCTGAAAGTATTAGCCAAGCTGGAGAAGAGAACTGGGTGAGGAAGCACCAACTTAACCATCAAATGAGGAGTTGACAAATCGGGTTGGTAAGGGAGGTATAAGGCTTCAGGGATGTAATTAGTGGAGTTTTCCAAGGTTCTGACATGGAACTAATCTTAAAATTCTTAAATTTATCTTAAATTTAAGAATAAGGTACTTTTGGGCTGATGTAATTCTGAGAAGTCACTAGTAGCGTGGCTGAAGTAGCAGTTTTTTCCATGTCAGTAGTGTTCCTTTGAAACAAATCTCCAAGCTTGCTCTTTGACATGAAGTGACCCGAGCCCATCTCATAGCACAGACTGGACTCCTCTCAGAGGAAAATACATGGGGAGATGTCATCCAGGAGCATAGAGCACGTTCCAGTCACCAATGGATGGTCAGTCCAACCAGCTCAGGTGAGAAATACCCAAGTTAACCCTCTGAAATGCAACCAATGTGGACAAGAGGTCCTTGGCACCAAGACCTGCTCCTGTTGGGCTGCACTGACTGCCCATACAGCCTGAGTAGATCAGTATTATAATTATAAAAGAGATCAGAAGGAAACCAAATTGTCTTAATGGTCTGGAATGAAATGGGATTTAATATGAAAAGTGAAAAAACATGTACATAGAGGCCAAAACACACACAGTATTTCCTGCAAAGTAGGAACTTATTCTGAGAACAAAAAGATCCAAGAGCTAAACTGGTTGTACAGTGAGTCACAGAATAACTCTGAGCAACCAGTGTGATGAATTTCCTTACAAATATGAAAAACAAGCCCCCAGAAATATCATTATATTTACAATAGATATCAGGTTATTCCTGGAATATTTTTTTAATAGGAGAACAGCTGGCTGCTGCAATGAAATTAAAGTGCTGATAAGAATTCCAAACTGATAACAAAAATATATTTATTGGCAACTCATAATTAATCTGCAGTAGTTTGCAAAAACAATATTAGCAAACTGAAGAGCTTAGTGGGATTCAGAAAGAGATTAGATGTTTCTGTGAATGCTATCCTGAATAATTACACTAGCTGGGATAAAAACTGATACATGAAAACAATGGTTTTATGATTCTTCCTATGCACAATTCACAGTGATTGTAAATAAATCTCCTCTAAAACATTATCTACCTGAATTAGAACCAAGACAACGGATTAGACATAGTGCTTTTTGTTTAATACAGTGGGTTCTTATATTTCAATTTCAACAAGCTATTCTAAAACAAAAGTATTGTAACTATCAGATTTCTATTCTTTATGCAATTCAGCATTATAATTCTGCCAGCCACCATTCAGACAAGTAATACTATTAAGAACTGGGGTTTATTGAATGCATAAAATTTTCCAGTGAGGTTAATGTGAAATACCAAGTGCTAAAATACAAAACAACTCAACACTGTCATACATAGAACACTGATGAAAGAGTTAATAAACGTGAGCTGAAAGTTAAACAGGTGATAACTGTGATAACTGCAATTAATTTGCTTCTGAGCTTTAAAAAAAGGGCATGAACTGGCCTTTGAGTAGCTACATCGTACTAGTTGAAACACTCCTCCATTGTAATGGACCATTTATTCCATTTGCATCCTCATATACACACGCATACAGCCTTGCTAAAAGATTCCTATTTGTTCATCATAACTCCACATTTAGTAGGAAAATTAACAAAAAAGGTAGCACTGGGAAGATGAAGGTAGAAGTTCTTGGAAAGGGTCAGAAAAGGACTCATAGAAAGAAAGAAATTAAAATCTAAGATAGAGTAATCCAGGAACTCTACAAGCTGCCTGAAAAGCTTTTCAGAGAGAAAACTGCTGTTGTAGGTTAAAACTATTTTCCTTTTGTGATTTGGGTTGGGTTGACCAATGATAAAATGATAGATGCTCTCCCCCATCTCTCACTCCAAGGAGAGGGAGAAGAGAGATAAAGAGATTTATGAGTTTAGAAAAAAACTAAACTAATGAAATATTCATAATAAAATAAAAAAAGGAAATAATGGAATAGATACTATATATATATATATATATAAAATCATACCAAGTTCCTAGGCAGATGTCACTGGCAGGCACTGGGAAAGTTCCAGACTGGTCTCAGCAATGGGAACTGGATTCTGGACCACACTAATGGGGATCAAAGGTGAACAGGGTCTTCCTCAGGCATCAGTCATCAAAGAAAGAGAGCCATCCAAGAAGAGACCAGTGAAGAGGAGCCAACCTGACCCCTTGGGTCCATCAGCCTTTATACCAAGCATGGCAGATGGGAGGGAACACCCTATTGGCCAGTTTGGGTCCAACCAAGTCAGCTGACCCTGGTTGCCACAGCAACAAGGATAAGCAAGAGCCTCTCTCACTGAACAGAAAGTTGGCCTTGGTCCACCCCAAACCAGGACATTTCCAAATGTCGTTCAGCAGAAAGCAAAGGGGTAGTAATGGTGTATCTTAAGGAGAAGTAAAATCAGCTTGGGGTCTGAGAAAGGCTGCACAAAAATCATTTGGCTGTCTCATATAGGAGGTGGACAACTCTAGATGCCTACTTCCCAAACCGGCAGCCTCAAAAGCTCTGCTCGGTTCTAATATTAAGTTTCCCTTTCCTTCAAAACCAGCCCAGTGGTGCCCGCTCGCCTTTCCATCCACAGCCCAAGCGTTAGAGCAGCCACCAGGATGGGTAACACCATGCCAACGTCCTCTTGCTGCTGAGAAAAGCCCTGCCAACACCTTCCCATCCGTTAATCCACGTGCAATGGAGCAGCTGGAGTGATTAAGATGCTTACCTGAGAGGCAGAAAATGTATTTTTTTAATAAAACAAGAGAGGCATGGACATCCTGGAGCCAGTCCACAAAGATGATGAAGGGATGGGAGCACATCTCCTGGTGGGAAAGGCTGAGAGAGCTGGGACAGTTTAACCTGGAAAGGAGAAGGCTCAGGGGGATCTCATCAATGTATATAAATACCTAAGGGAGGGTGCAAAAAAGAAGGAGCCAGGCTCTGAAAAGAGCCTGGTGCCCAGTGACAGGACCAACAGGAGTTTCCAAATATCATTCAGCAGAAAGCAAAGGACTAGTAATGGTGTATCTTAAGGAGAAGTAAAATCAGCTTGGGGTCTGACAAAGGCTGCACAAAAATCATTTGGCTGTCTCATATAGGAGGTGGACAACTCTAGATGCCTACTTCCCAAACCGGCAGCCTCAAAAGCTCTGCTCGGTTCTAATATTAAGTTTCCCTTTCCTTCAAAACCAGCCCAGTGGTGCCCGCTCGCCTTTCCATCCACAGCCCAAGCGTTAGAGCAGCCACCAGGATGGGTAACACCATGCCAACGTCCTCTTGCTGCTGAGAAAAGCCCTGCCAACACCTTCCCATCCGTTAATCCACGTGCAATGGAGCAGCTGGAGTGATTAAGATGCTTACCTGAGAGGCAGAAAATGTATTTTTTTAATAAAACAAGAGAGGCATGGACATCCTGGAGCCAGTCCACAAAGATGATGAAGGGATGGGAGCACATCTCCTGGTGGGAAAGGCTGAGAGAGCTGGGACAGTTTAACCTGGAAAGGAGAAGGCTCAGGGGGATCTCATCAATGTATATAAATACCTAAGGGAGGGTGCAAAAAAGAAAGAGCCAGGCTCTGAAAAGAGCCTGGTGCCAAGCGACAGGACCAACAGGAACAAACTGAGACACAGGAGGGTCCCTCTGAACATCAGATGACAGTGTCTCACTGTGAGGGTGACCAAGCACTGGCACAAGTGACCCAGGGAGGTTGTGGGGTCTCCCTCCTTGGGGTTAGTCTTGAAACCATCCTGGGCACAGTCCTGGGCAACCAGCTCTTGATGGCCCAGATTGAGCAAGGGGGTTGGACAAGATGACCTCCAGAGACAACCCCAAGCGTCCTGTCAATATCTGAATGAAATATTCCATTTGGGGGTAATTGGGGAATATTTGTGTAGTTGGTTTGTCGACCATGGAGTTTCTTTGTATGGTGCTATTTTGATTTCTTGCTTTAAGTCAGTAGCTTTACCTTGATCTCCCAAGTGGACAATTTTTTCCAAAGTGAGTCCATTTTTCAGTACCAGGTATCTATGTTAAAATCAAAAGCTCATGCCCTGCTATATTTATAAAAGGACTGTAAGTCCCACATAGGACGGTACCCAAAAAACAGCCTTTTAAGCTATGATTTAATGTATCTATTAAGGAAAAGAGACAACCCCAAGCGTCCTGTCAATATCTGAATGAAATATTCCATTTGGGGGTAATTGGGGAATATTTGTCTAGTTGGTTTGTCGACCATGGAGTTTCTTTGTATGGTGCTATTTTGATTTCTTGCTTTAAGTCAGTAGCTTTACCTTGATCTCCCAAGTGGACAATTTTTTCCAAAGTGAGTCCATTTTTCAGTACCAGGTATCTATGTTAAAATCAAAAGCTCATGCCCTGCTATATTTATAAAAGGACTGTAAGTCCCACATAGGACGGTACCCAAAAAGCTATGATTTAATGTATCTATTAAGGAAATAAAAGCTTACATCATTCATGTCTTTAATAGTGTTTTCCATTTTTGTAAGAATCGTTACTGCAGAACTAAAAAGAACAGGATGTTCTTTTTATACAAAACTTCCTTGTATCAAAACCCCTTTGAATATGTTTAATATTACACAGCAAAAAAACCACTCAGCCTTTACATGTGTAGGGATGTCATTGAAACCAATTAGTTGTAGCCAAATACCTAGTGGCAGGTTAATATATTAAGCACAACATTGTATACAATGTTACGATCTCTAATTATACTTTGATATGGAAGATTGGATATGGATATATTTGATTTGAGATCAAGGAGGACAAACAGGTCTTACAACGGCTCTATGTAGATAGACATTTTATTTCAAAAAATAGCAAATGTCTTAAGAACACAAACCAGAAGGTTATTAAAAGCTTCATAGCAAAATATTTAGCCAACTCTGTTACAATATATAGGCTTGAGGTTCTAACAGTTAACACTACGCCTCGATTCACTGAGCGAGGGACGCTCCTGATACATAAACATCGCGCAGTTGAAATACGGAGCTGAATACTTTAAAAAAAAAAAAAAAAAAAAAAGAGAGGGCATTTTTATCTTTGATCTTTCCTAATCAAAGTAATTGAAGAGCAATGACATTTTAACAGGTTTGATTCTTTTTGGGGGAAAAGCCATTCAAATTAATTCCTGAGTATTTAGGTTAAGTGAATATATCAAAAATGACCAATTAAGACCAACATCCTGTTAGGTGAGCCTCGAGACCTGAAGTGACACTCCCCAGCACGGCTGTGGTGGCAGGATCACAGCCTAAATACCTTAATGAAATTCATGGAAACTTTCTGGTGTGCACATTCAAATTCTCATTTTCTTTAGCAATAGCCTCCAACTGTCAACTGTGAGGCTTGCTCGGCTGAGAAAAACATTGTTTTAAATGTCACTTTCTTTTGCAAAACCTTGTAATGCAAATTGGCAGAGCTAAGCCTCCAGTGAACCATCACACCAATAATTACGTGGAATACATAAATCAGAATTTAGGCAAGGGGCTTTCCTACTATCTTAGTATACATATTGGATTGTATGCTTTGTATCAGTGTTTTGAACACAGAGATCTAGTAATTTCGCTTCTTGCTATTGAAATGAGAGGCAATATATTCATTTTCCATTATTCTCTTTAGATGCATGTCACAATATCATCTTATTATACATCATGTTTCTAAAATCCTGCTGGCGTTCATCAATTCCTAGGATTTTAATTGAATCTGCACATTTTGATTTTAAAACTGCTGCCAATCAAAGCGGTTTAGAGAACTAATCCCAGAAAAATTTCCAGATTTCTTACTTTATATATGTTTTCCCGGAATCACAGGATTAAACTACACTGGATGTAGAAAGATCATTGTACAAAGCATAGTTAATAATTCACAACACTGGTATTCAACTCGACCGATTACAATGAATTCACAAAAAAAAAAAAAAAGGTTTTAATTATACCCATTCTTTTCTATCCACCCACCCCAATATGTAAACAAGTTTCTCACAATGACGATGGCAAGATCGTGGTTACCGAGATGGACCCTATGGAAAAGACAACACTGAGGAAAAAGGCCTGGATTTGACAATTCCAGTATGTGCTCCTGCTCACTTCCCCTTCCAGACCACAAGAACCAGTTTTAGACTCTTGCAGTCATTAAATAAAGATAATTTACAGGTAAACTGAGCTTTTTCTTTTTTCTAATGCAGGCTTCTGGAGTCAAAGTGATAAAAAAGTGACATGCTTATATAGAACAAAAGAAATTACGACTTGGGAAAAATTGGAATCAGTCGTACCTGAAACTCTCTGGGCAATGATAATGTACAGTATTGCAGCTGTATGTTGCTAAGACAAAAAACCTCTTGGCATTACAAAGATGAAGATCTCTGTTCACACACGCCAATTTTAACGGGCTATTAAGCATTTGGTTAAAAACAGGCTCGTACTAACCTCACTGAAAAGGAAACACTTGTCAAAATGTTGGGTTTTTTTTTTTAAAAAATACTGTATGACATCTCCTAAATTGCAATTTAAATATTAAAATCTTGTTTCAGAAGTTCCCCGCTTTAGGTTGTTACTCAAAAACTCGTCATGTTCAAAACTCAAGTTATTATGAGATCTCGATATCATAAGAAGCTTTTCCTTATTGGTAAAGTCTTTCTTGACTGCTGCTTGTGGCACAAGTAACCTGTCCATGGGGTCCTCTTTGTTTTCTAGTTTCATGTACCCTTTACTGTTGCTCCTGTCCAGCCTGGGCCAGCTGGGGTGCTTCCGTTGCTCCGCTTGGACAGTCAGAGTAGATGGACCCCTGTCCAAGTCCAAGGACTTCGAGTGCGAAGACAGAAGATGCAAAGACGTGTTGGACCCAAACTGTTTCCTGGCAGCGCCAGGGGACAAAAGCTTTCCTGTGCTTGGTCCCAGAGTCATAGAAGATTTGAACTGATCCGACGGAGCGTCCACAAAGGAATTGTGTCGCGGCAGCACGGCGGCGACCGGTCTGTAGGACTCGTTGGTATCAGTCAGTGGAATGGCCAGAGAATCCATAGACAGGTTTCTAGACCGACTCCTGGTGATCTCCGAGTCCTCGGTTATGTTGTCTATGCTGGGCTCATCAATGACACAGTTATTCAGTTTAATTACGGGCAGCGTGAAAGCACTAATGGAAGATGACACAATGGATTTTGTTTCGCACTTTATAGAGCCGGCGTTCTTGTCATCTGCAGCCTTGCTGGAGTGAGGGTAGAGTCCAAAGACCGACCCAGATTGCTCAGTCAGCAGAGGTGGCAGGAGGCCACCGGTGGTCCTGTCTTCATGTAGGGTCACCTCGTCTTCTTCGGCAGAGCTATCCATCCGAAAATTACCCTTGAAGCCGGAGAAAGGCGCGACCGTGTTGGCAGCCAGCCGTGAGGCGCAGGAGCTCCCGCTAGGCCTCAGCTCTCCTTCCCCCAACAGGCCAGTGAAGGCACCGCTCAGCTGCTTCTGCTCCCTGATCCTCAGCGTGTGGATGTCTATGACGGTGGAGTAGATGTCCCTCATGTGTATGATTTTGGTTTCCTTGTCACGGTTCTCGTGCAGAATGGCGTTGGCGCAGATGAAGATGAAGATCCCGATGCCCATAGTGAAAGGGCCCAGCATCTTCATCTTGTCTGAGTGCACGTGCTGCTCGAAGAAACGAAGCAAAAGGCTCCCTTGGCTCCTCAGGACCTGGGTTTCGTTTACAGACAGGTTCTCTTCAGATCCTAAAAGCTGTTCCTTTTGGGGCCAGTATCCAAGGATGGCCATTGCAATTCCCAGGAATGCGATCAGCACCCCCAAAACGAGGAAGAATCCCGACGGGGAGTAGAGACGGATTTTGCCCCGGACAATCACCACGTCTGCCCTGGGCCGGCGTCGAACCGGTTTCTTCTCCTCAGAAGCTGGTGCGGCGGCAAGATTGAGATGTTGCTGAGATCTGGCAGAGTCTTGCCTTTTTAAGGCAGCCAGTCCTGTTATGACTCCTCCGGTTGCTATCATAGTTCTGTATCGTGCCCTAGGAAAGAAAAAAAGCAAAAAAAAAGTAAAAAAAAAGCAGAATTATTGAGGCAAGCAAAGGTTGAGTCTATAAATATAAACAGCACTTTGTTAGTCTGTAACTATTTGTTGATAAAATATTCATGACTTTAAAGAAGCTATTAGATCTTAATCCAGTTATGAGATTCTTAAAACAAAATTTCCAGAGGAAAGAAAAAAAGCAAAAAAAAAGTAAAAAAAAAGCAGAATTATTGAGGCAAGCAAAGGTTGAGTCTATAAATATAAACAGCACTTTGTTAGTCTGTAACTATTTGTTGATAAAATATTCATGACTTTAAAGAAGCTATTAGATCTTAATCCAGTTATGACAGAGAAGTTTTGAGATTCTTAAAACAAAATTTCCAGAAGTCTTTTATCACTGTAAATATAGGCAACAGATCCTCCATCAGTCATAAAGACAGCAGCAGAAAGCTAGTGCTCTTAGTGGGGATATAGTAGCATTAAAGATTGAAATATTCACAAGTCTTAATAGATTATTTATCTCTGGATTGCTCTGCAGCAAAGTCAATAATACGTTATTACCTTGCATGTAGTTTAGATCATTTTAGCACTTTAGCTAGTAGGTCTTTTAAAAATTTCTGTGACACACAATGACTATATAAATGATTCTATACATCCCCTTTAAGAGATCTTTCCTTATAGATTTTAGCATATATTAACACATATTTATTCCATCATTTAAAGCAGCTTTTATTAATCCTGTTCAGATCACCTGAGTCTCAACTAGGAATCATTTTTTTCGTTCCTGATAAAGCTGATCCTCTTCTATGCCCTATCTAGGTCTTTTTCTCCCCTTCTTGGTTCTTCATGGACTACAAATCCAGTAGCTCAGTTGAGTTTACTAGCTAAGAAATCTTCATAAATTTCAAGGTCATCAATTCAAAGCTTCATCATTTTATGAGGAAATTGTTTCATTTTATACTTACTTTCCTACCTGGCTGCCTACTACATCAGAAACATTAACCAGCCTGTGTTTAAAAAGAGAAAGCCCTGGTTATAGGTTTTTATGAATAACATTAAGACCAGGCTGGATGGGGCTTTGAGCAACCTGGGCTGGTGGGAGGTGTCCCTGCCCAGGGCAGGGGGGTTGGAACTCAATGAACTTTAAGGTCCCTTCCAACCCAAACCATTCTGTGATTAAGAGTAACAAATGAAACAATATAGTTCAGGATAACTGCATTTTATTTTACAAGGGATCTTATAATCAGACTAAAAAATAGTTTCTGAGCTTAATTAATGAATGTTAGAATGAATACTAGATAATATTCTAGAGTAAAATGAAGACACTATAAGCCATGTATGAAAAAATTACGTTCTCTTTGGTGGCCTTACTTGGTCAAGATAAAGAATAAGATGATAAAGAAGAGATAAAGATAGATAAAGAGATAAAGAAAGGCTGACATTCTCTTGCAGAGGAAAAGGCTCCCTGTCAAAGCTGGGGATGGTTTAACAAGCAGAAGAAGATAAAGTTGGACTGGGTGAGTAATGGGAGAGACAGAAAAGCAGAGGCAAAGCAAATGACTACTTCCAATATATAGGCAAGAATTTTCATCAGCTGTCTTAAAATATTTAAGGAGATTTTTTTAAAACTCTTAGCAGTGCACCCGTGCAAAAAAAAAAACAAAACATAATAAAAAATTAGATCTATCACGGTATGAGAAACAATCAGACAAGACTCTGTGTTTGGACATTACGGTACAATTCCAACACCACAAACAGGTCTCACATAATCACATTTACACAGAGAAATCAGCCCAGCCCACCAATCCTGACCTTGGTTATGAAATTAATGGGGAATTTGAGACAGCTGGCCAAGTGGAAGAACTAATCCAGAAAAAAAAAAAAATTGTACCCAGTGTTCATTATTATCTATCTGTTCAGCAGCAATTCAGATGACAGACAGACCAAGCAGCAACCTGAACTCCCTCCCTACACCATCATTAATAAAGGAGAAGTGCTATCTCTCTTTCTCTGTGAGAAACTTTTTCTTTACGAAGGAAAGACCCGAGAAAAGACCCAGGGTGCTAAGTACACAGCATTTTCTGAATTTCTGTAAGAGAAATCCATAGCATCATTCCAAAAATCTCAGAAATTTCACTTGTAGTGTCGGGCTTGATGTTCCTAATCTCTCCTGAAAGCCTCATCCTTTGCAATTAAATTCCATTTTTATGCTATCTGGGCAATTTCAATAGTTCAATGCCAATTTATTTCTTGAACGCTTCATGAAAAGCCTTTTCTTTTTTTAACATAACAATTTAAAAATCCCCCAAAAAACTTATTTGACAATGACAGTCTTTAACAATGAAAACAAAACTTTCTCATCTGCCTATGTGTTTAAGAGTTTCTGCCAAAACAAAAGATCATGATTGTGTAAAACAATGTTTTGAATCTCTAGACAGAAATAAATAGGACTTATCCATTATAAATGCAGTATTTTGTCATGACTCAATTATATGCAATTAGTTTTCTCTATCAAATAAATTAAGAGAATTAGGGCATATCTTTACCAAAATGAATAGATGATTTAGCTATAACTTAGTTTATTCCATCATTCTTTTCCAGATCCAGACCTTTGTGAGGAGGGAGGGGAGTGACAAGGAATTTCCATGTTCTTGTGGGATTTTCCAGGCACACATCAACCCGATCTGCCCATCCTCAGGGCTGCAGGAACCGCACAGAATGGCAGAATTTTGTTATTTTGTGTACAGTACCGGGCTGTGCTTATCACAGCTCCCTGGATTGCATCAAAGGGGGAACGGAATAAGATCATATCTGCTTGCTGAATATTTTAAACATACCGCTAGCAAGAGCTCCTCTCTAACTCGGAAAAGCAGAGACAACAAAAATGTTCCTAAAAATCACATTTTAGGGCGTCTTCCCATAGAAAGTTCTCACTTGCAAATTTTACAAAAATTGCATGAAAACTGCATCTCAGTTTCACTGTTAATTGGTCTCCAGAAACTTGAAATTGAGATCTCTTGAAGTGCAAGTGGAAGAGAGATCTCTCAAGCCTCCTGCCTGGCTCCCTCCCACTATTTCAGGGGAAGAGGTTGTTCCCCTGTTCATTTTACCCCATCGGAACTGGGACGCAGGGGGAGAAAGTCTGGCTGCAGCAAGACACAAACCTACTTTATACATAGAAAGGGGCTCTTTCCTATTTACCAAGTTCACATCAATATTATTATATCTCCCTTCTTTCACGGAAACAAAATCCCAACCAGGTTTGTAAATAATAATTTGCAATAAGCCACAGCCTCCGTAAGGCTTAGATGATACTTAACAGCTGAATTTTCATCTCTTCTATGTCTAATAAAATTAATGGCATTAGCAGACATATTGGTATGAGATGATTTCACTTCATACAGACAGCTTTTCAGAAACCAATTACAATGAAGTGCATATTAAGATGGAAACTTTTTTAAAAAAAATTTTATTTAGAATAAAATGACATTGTAGATACATTTGAATTTTTCCACAAATCTGTTTAATTTCACCACGTAACAGCCATAACAAGTGCCAGTGACAAATGCTTTTCATTTAGCTTAGCACAGTGATCACATTTAATTTTACTCTGAGGTCTGGATTCAAACTTCTGAACAAGGAAAGCTTAGAAGACTTTGACTCAGAGGTAAAGAAAGATTATGCTAAAAGCTCAGAGATCACCTTTTTGGTGGCACTGTGAATGACACAGGCTTGCTCTAAAACGAATCGAATAACGGTAAAATAGATATGGAATAGAAAAAAAAAAGGGACAGGCCTGTAGTTCATTTTATAAAACACAGGCGTCTTGCTGACACAAAAGCACCACCACTGCCAAGCTCCTTTTGAAGAACAAAGGTTGAGTGACTCTAACCTCGTAGCTGCTCTGTTGGTTTCATCTTCAGCGAGAACATCAGGTCCAAAGGCCTGGACGGCTTCAAGCTTTAGTCTTGAAAGAGCAGTGGCCCAGATTTACCTCTGCATTGAACTTTGCTTTGTATTGAGCTGTTGTTACAGAGCGGCCCTGCCACCAGCCCTATCAGACACTCAAGATCACCCAAGGAAAGCCTGTCCTGGTATAGATCCTGTAAAGCAGCTCCCTGCTTGCTCTCAGTCCTGCTCTCCCTCTGCATCATTTAGGCAGAGGAGAATGACTCAGGCCCTTGATGCCTCAGGTCTAACCTTTGCAATGGCCATGAGCAAGATGTGCTTCACCTTTCAGCCAGGCTGTAGGCTAAGCTCCATCCTCTGCATCTGGCAGGCTTTCCAGGAGATCACAGAATCATAGAATGGTTTGGGTTGGAAGGGAACTTAAAGATCACCCAGTTCCCACCCCCAGCCCTGGGCAGGGACACCTCCCACCAGACCAGGTTGCTCCAAGCCCCATCCAGCCTTAGATGAACACCTCCAGGGTCTTGAACCCCTCCAGGGATGGGGCAGCCACAGCTTCTCTGGGCAACCTGTTCCAGTGTCTCACCACCCTCACAGCAAAGAATTTCTTCCTAACATTTAATCTAAATCTCCCCTCTTTCAGCTTGAAACCCGTCCCCCTTGTCCTATGGCTCCCCTCCCTGATCCAGAGTCCCTCCCCATCTCTCCTGGAGCCCCTTTAGGGACTGGAAGAGGCTCTAATTTCTCCCTGGAGCCCTCTCTTCTGAACAGGCTGAAAAACCCCAACTCTCTCAGCCCTAAAAATCTCAGCAGCAACTGGAGTAACAGGTTGTTACGTGCCCTTGAGCATGAAGAAATGAGGAATCCCTCAGCAGCTGCCACTAATAATTATCTCAGGTGATAATTACAGCCTCAGTAGGGCCTGTAGGGAACCGTGTGGCTGGGACAAAGACAAGGAGACGAAGGAAAAGACCTAGGTGACACCTGCAGAAGTATGAGTGGTGGGTAAGGAGGTACAAGAGGGGCTGCAGCCCACCTAAAAGGAGAATACTAGAGCCAAAGGAATAAAACACACAGGAAAGGTTTGCA